AAAAGGGAAGATTCAATAAAGATAATGAAAGATATTAACACAGCCAATCTCTGCCTCTGTAGAGCTACCTGGGGAGGCACTGTTAATATCAACACTGGCACGGGAAATCCCAAATGTGTACCCTGATATCGGAGATTTCAACAGAGGCTGGTAGCTTCCATCTCCGTGGGCACAGTGAGTCTGTTCCAGGTTTTTGTTGAAACTTTAATGGAACTGCCTAGATCAGGGGTAGGCAACCTTTCCCTTTTAAGGGCCGAGGGACTTTAGCTCCCAGAAGCCTCAGCCATGTTGGCTAATAGTCCCATGTTGGCCAATAGCTCCTGGGATTCTGGGAGCTGAAGTCCCTCGGCCCTTAAAGGGGAAAGGTTGCCTACCCCTGGCCTAGATGCTAAACTTTAAAGGTTCAGCACCTTGGATATCGCCCTCCAAATTCAGATGAAATCTTGAAGGGCATTCATGGTCCCACTGACATGGGATCTGCCACTGTGGGATTGAAGGCCAGCTCTAACATTAGGCCAAGTGCCGTGATTCCCTTCACAGCAGATACTTGGGGGCTGTAGCACTTCACCAATTGCGGGCTGTAGCGACTGCAGTCAAGAAATAAGGAGGAGACTGGAATGATGTATTGAACCCCTTAATGGATAGGAAAACAAAGGCAAAACAAAGATTCAATCAAGGGAAGCTTCCAAAATCCTTTTTTATGTTATTGGATATGCTGGTTCTGGAAGATACACAGAGAGACAAGATCCTAAAGTGTAAAGACATAAAATTGGACACTAAAGGTAGAGTTGTCCAGTCCATCGTATTCCCCATCACTATGAATGGATGCCAGAGCTGGACAGTGAAGAAAGCGGATAAGAAGAAAAACAATGCATTTGAGATAATGTGGGGCTGGAGAAGAGTGCTGAGGATCCCATGGACAGCTAAAAAGACAAAGAAATGGGTTCTTGAACAGATCAAGCTGGAACTCTCCCTGGAAGTCAAGATGATCAAATTGAGGCTGTCATATCAGTTGTATATCTTTGCTCTTTAGGATCTTTTCTAGTTCTCACATCACTGCCTTTCCCACTCCTAGTCATCATCTTTTTCACAAGTTTGTGTTCTATCTGAATATCACATGAAAGTATTGATTTAAGCCATTATTTCACTTTAAAATGAACACGTTGTCCTCATTCATAAATTACACAATGCACACATTCCTGCCCACACCCAAATATCCAGGCCTTTTGGCCATCTTGTTCAATTTATATGAAAAGAAAAGCTTTCCAACCTTCCAATAGAAGGCATCCCTAATAATAAAATGTGAGTCCTGGAAGAGATGAAGTTTCTGCCCCTGAAATAAGGGACACTCCCTATAACAAGGAACATCGGGCAACCCCAGGTAGGATACAAGTGCATCCGTTTTTGTGTCTCAGGATTGCATAGAATGGAACCATAGCAGTTCAAGTGGAATCATACTGCTATAACTGTATAGTATGACTACATAACTGTATAGTATGACTACTTTAGTGCTGGGTTGTTGCATTCAAAAAACTCAGAACTGTGTTGGCCAGGTCGGGGAAAGAAAGTTTGCTTCATATGTGTTCCTGAATTGCTCACAAGCAGGCTGGACCCCTCCATCTCTTCCTTCCTTCCTTCCTTCCTTCCTTCCTTCCTTCCTTCCTTCCTTCCTTCCTTCCTTCCTTCCTTCCTTCCTTCCTTCCTTTCTTTCTGCCAGCTGCAGGCTCCATCTTTCCAGCTCCCCCAATAGTTCAAATGCAATTAAAAGCCAATAATTCCTATGTAAATAAAGCCAACCTGGGAAGAGGAAATGAAATCCCAAGTAATCCCCAAGGCCTAGGAAATAAGCCGGAGGAATGTTGAGGAGCTAATTAAATCCATTAAGCACAAGGTTGTTGCTCCCACTTTGCTGCTGAATCCACCATTTAAAAACCATCTTCCCCAAACCTTGGCAATTTCTCCTCTTCCAGTCCTTAGCTGGAAGAAATGCATCAGCTGCAATCACCGACAACAAGTGCCTCTCTGGCCGGCTACTACTTTATAAACTTTGCACTGCCATTTGAAGTTCATATCTGGGACTCGGAGGCTCCTTCACATTTCAAATGAAGCCAGAAAATGAATGGGACATCCTGGCTTCTGGCCCAGGTAGCTAAGGAGAGAGGCCACCATGACTGACCCCCCCAAAAGATGAGTCCAGATGAAGGTGACAAAGCTCCCTGTTTTCACTTGCCAGAATACTCCATTGTGCTGGAATATTTCAAGGCAGTGTGCTCCCTACCTTGACATAATAGAAAACTCCAGCCCCTGAGATCAGGGAGCTCTAGTGTTTTAGCTGTGGATTTCTCACACTGACCTTTGGGATCCTTTCCAGCTATATGATCCTGTGGTTTTCCTCTGCCTACGACAGCTTTGGGCTGGTCAGCTCAAAACAAGACGAAAGGCCCGGTTCATGCCAAGATGGAAAACTCTTGCAGTAGGAATTTATCACACTGGGACAAAGTGCCCAAATCCTGTGCAGAAACGGGATTTAAAACCCGAAACCCCCCCGCAAATGTGGGTTGATTTTCACACACATCGGGGTTAATGAGCAATTAACTGAGACAGAAAGTCAACAAAACACGTTTCTTTTTTACTTTTGGGATTTTCCAAAAGTAAAAAGAATGGCGTTTTGTTGACTTTCTGTCTGGGTTAATGTCACATTAATGCACAACAATGCTTCATGTGAAAATCAATCTGGTTTTGTGGATTTTTTCCACTTTCTCTCCCCTTTCTGTCCAGGTTAATGCTCAACATCATGTGAAAATCAATCCGCTTTTGCAGGTTTTTCCTGTTTTAAATCCCATTTTAGCATGGGATCCCTTCCATGTGATAAACCCCTGGGTTTAGCTGGGATGCTTGACCTGATGTTATCTGTTTCTCTTTTCCAGTTGTCATTTTTGTAGGGCATTTTTGGAGTGATACATGACCCTTTCCCTGACAGTTTGAGCAGCAAAAAGCAAGCTCAGCAAGATTATCATTTGCTCACAACCTGAGTGGCAGCTGATGACTGTCATATCCATAGGCATATGAATCTGTCATGATAAGGGAATCGGTTGGTTGATGTAGGGATAAAATGATTAGGTGCAATAGCGCTATGGCTAAATAAATAAAGATCGAAGGGGAGAAGGTAAGGCTGGGAACCAAATGGGCAGCGGCAGGAGGGGTTGCAGTTTACGGTCCTGTTTATTTCCTATTGCAGGGCACTGATGGAAAAGGAAGAAACACCTTCCTTCCTGGGATAGATGAAATGATAATGGAGATAGGGAGTTGAGGAAAGGGGGAAAGTTTAAAGAATCGCTTTGATCTAGATCAAAGACCATGGACTGCGGTTGGGGAAGGAGGGGATGGAAGAGGGGAATTCTAAAAGTGTTGGGGAACAATCAGATCGGACACAGCCAAGTCTGTGGTGAACATCTGTCTTGAAATCCAAAATAAACCTACAATGCTGTCTTGGTTTTTGAGATCTGAGTCCACCGAACATGACAATGGCAGAGGGAGGACAAAGCTGTTCCAGGTAATGGTCTAAATTTTTAAATGAACTAGCCAAGGTGAGGAACTTATTTTTGGCAAGGGGTTCAGCGCCATGGGTAGACTCTTTAAAGCCACTCTTTACACCAGAGGTGGATAATCATTTAGGGCCAGGTAGGAAGAAACCTTCTTGTCTCTTTCTCCTGTATCAACACCCCACCTCACACACCTCTTAAACTGGTGGATTCCTTTTAAAATCCTGAGGATCAGTGGTGGATCTGGCAAGCTTTTCTGTTCCACCGCTGAGGTTGGAAAGGGAAACATTCACCTTGTATCATTCAATGGTCAGAAAGACCTTACTGGTAAAATTATACAAATCCCAGAATTCCACAGCACTCCTGGATTCTCAGGTGGTTCCCCCCCCCGGTTTCCCTGTGCAATAGTTAATTCTGTTGTTGTTGTTGTTATTGTGTGCCTTTAAGTTGTTTCTGGCTTATAGTAACTCTAAGGCAAAATCAGAGAGCCAGCATGGTGTAGTGGTTTGAGCATTGGAGATCATGGTTCGAATCCAGGCTCAGCCATGTAAATACACTGGGTGACCTTGGGCAAATCACACTCTCTCAGCCTCGGAGGATGGCAGTGGCAAACCCCTTCTGAAAAAACTTGCCAAGAAAACCATGTGATTGGTTTGCTTGAAGGTTGCCATAAGTCAAAAATGAATTAAAGGCACACAACAACAACAACAACAACAACAAGACAAAATAGTTGTTCCTGCGCAGAGCAGAGTTTTGCAAATAAGATGGAGTACTAGAGGTGGGAACCAACCATGGGAGCAGATTGGGGAGTGTACAGTAGTTTTTGAGAGCCAGCGTAGGGTAGTGGTTTGAGCATTGGACTACGATTTTGGTGACCAGGGTTCGAATCCCAGCTTGGCCATGTAAACCTACTGGATGACCTTGGGCAAGTCATATTTTCTAAGCCTCAGAGGATGGAAATGGCAAACCTCTTCTGAAGAAACGTGTCAAAAAAAAAATAAATAAATCCCATTCCTTAGGGTCCCCATAAGTCAGAAACAACTTAAAAGTCACATAACAACTGTAGTGTCTAAGCTGAAGTAATTATCTTTCCTGCCAGTAGGTGGCAGAAGGGTACAAGAAGAGTCTTGCTAGATCAGACCAAAAGCACTGCATAGTCCAGCATTCTGTTTCCACCACAATGGCCCAGCAAATGCCAGTAGCAATTGCCTACTTACCTCCTCCAAGAACTGGTCTTTAAAGCTGAAGTGAAACTGGAGTCCCGGGTGGGCCCAGTTTTGCTTTTGCACTACTTTTGTTGCCATGTAATGACAAAGCGAAACCATAATAACCGTCAAATTGCAAAAATGTTTTTCTCCCAATGGTGCCAACATAATTCTGTTCTTTCTCACACCTTTCAGTAAATTGCTTCTTGAATCTTCTTGAATCTGAGAGTCAAATGGGCTGGTAATTATTATATGGTCCTGGAGGGAAACGGTGCAGAATAACAAATCAGATCTTTAAGAGAATTGAGGCAACCTGATAGATTTTGATAAATGCTTTCTTCAATGGCCACGGTGGGAATTTCTCGCCTTCTCTGGCTCTCTCCTCAGTCCTTGGGCTGGCGAGAAAATATTGCACTACATTGCTGTACTTTACTTAACTTTCCTCCGTGGAATTCAAGGTGCTCCTTTTAAACAATAAAAATTGACATTGATTAATTAGTTCAGATCAGTCTGCAGAAATTACAGGCACAGAAAATTTGGTCTCTAACTAACTGCCTGGTCTGCAAATTTACCTTTAAGAGATTTATTTATTTATTTATTTATTTATTTATTTTTACTTCAAAATAAAATAGACACTCACCATATTTGTTGTTGTGTGTTTACGAGTCATTTCCAACTTATGGCAACTCTAAAGCAAACCCATCAGAGGGTTTTCTTGGCCAGATTTGTTCAGAGAGGGCTTCCTCTGAGGATGAGAGAGTGTGACTTGCCCAAGGTCTGGCTCCACAGGTAAGGGAGATTCGAACCCTGGTCTCAAAGAATTCCTAGTCCAACACTGAAACTACTACACCACACTGACTATCATCCATGCTCACCACACAACCTATTTATCAGCAGATTTTCAAAAAGAAATGTCTGTCTTAAGGTGAAACAAAGCTCACTGCAACATTTTTGATGGTGAGGGTAGAAGACGGGGACTCTTGAGGAGCTGGCATCCCATAAGCAAAAGGTTGTCCACCTTGGCCTAAGATCTCAGGCAGGGATTTATGCTCCTTCCTATGACTTCTGGGGCATCCAAGATGATGCTTAGGATCCTAGGACCTTTCAAATATGTTGGTCTGCGACTCCCATTAGCCAGCATAGCCAATGGTATGGAATGCTAGGAGATGCAGTCCAACAAACCATCTAGAGGCGTTGATCTCTACCCCTGTAACAGAATTCAGATAGCCATGTTAGTTTGAGATATCAGTATGCAAAGGGATCTTGTAGCACGTTTGAGACTAAGTGTAGGGAAGAAGTTGTGGCATGAGCTTTTATGGACTGATGCCTAGGAAGGACCTTTATAATCAGACTGTACGAATGGTCACAGAAATGCAAAACTGGTGGGTATGGGTGATGTGGTGAGGATGAGCCTCACCAGCCAGTTTAACATATCTCCTTTCTGGTTCCTAGCTTGCACACACCACCTTCCACAATCCCCTCCACCATTCATATGAACATCCACCTACTTTGGCCTTAGGCAACATCTTCCCTCCTGCCTTTGTCCCTCAATGAGACCATTGTAGTCATGCATCTGAAGAAGAACAGCCCTTACTGTCAGGAAGTTCCTCCTAATGTTGAGGTGGAATCTCTTTTCCTGGAGCTTGAACCCATTGTTCCGGGTCCTATTCTCTGGAGCAGCAGAAAACAAGCTTGTTCCCTCCTCAATATGACATCCCTTCAAATATTTAAAGAGGGCTATCATATCCCCTCTTAACCGTTTCTTCTCCAGACTGAAAATCCCCAGCTCCCTAAGTCTCTCCTCATGGGGCTTGGTGGTTTCCCGGACCTTTCACCATTTTGGTTGCCCTCCTCTGGACATGCTCCAATGGCATTGGTTTTCATTGGTGGTCTCCTTTCCAAGTACTAAGCAGGGTGGTACTTGGCTTCCAAGATCAGATGGGATCTGGTGCCTTTAGCATATTTATGCCCATTCTATTGGATACAGCCATGGCAACTAAAGTGGAATCATAGTTTTTTGTGGGTTTTTCGGGCCATGTTCTAGAAGAGTTTCTTTCTGATGTTTCGCCAGCATCTGTGACTGGCACCTTGAAGAGTAAAGGGATAATGCAATATAGAGGATGCCAGCCACAGATGCTGGAGAAATGTCAGAAAGAAACTTTTCTAGAACATGGCCACACAGCCCGAAAAACCCTCAAACAACTATGGATGCCAGCCATGAAAGCCTATGACTTCATAAAGTGGAATCGTTCTGCTATATGTCAAAGGGTCCGTTCTATGCAAGACTAAATCACTTTCCATATCTGAGCTGAAACTATTTGTACTTTGTACTTTGCCACACATGGAACGCTCTGATCCCTTTTCCCCCTTCTAGTGCCCTGCTCTTGTCTTTGATTGCAGCTCCCAGCATCCCAGGCACGGGCCAGCTTAGAGAAAGGCTAACCTAACCAAACAGCGCAGCAAAAATGCACCCCTCCAAATGGCCTGCTGTTTCCTTCCAGCCCTGGTAAATCCTCACTCATTCCTTGGCTGCAGGAGGTGCTGATGGATTCCTCTTGAAGCTCTAACCAGTCCTGACAGCTCCTGCAAATGTATAAAATCCATCATTTATGGGGATCAGCCTGGCTATTGTTGTCCGTAGCATTTGGCAATAAGGCACTTTCCTCTAAATGGGATGTCTGCAATCGTGTTGGATGTCTCCCCCAAAGTTCTGGGCAAGGGGGCAATCTAGCTAAATGGAAATGCAGGAGATCAGAAAGTAGTGTCT